TGAACATCAAAGATCACACAACAGAAGTGCGCGCGCTCTCTCTCTCTCTCTGTCTCTCTCTCTCTCCCTACCGTTAAGTAACTTGTGCATTGTTTTACTTCTTTTTGACACATCCGACCGAACTACAAACTTTCCAGTGATGTCTGTGAGAAAGGGATATTCACTCGACAAGCTCGCGCATCTGCGCCGCTGCGAGCTCAATCCACTCAGCGTGATTTGCTTACCAGCTGGTGCTGGATGTAACGCTGGCGCATTAATACTGAATGTTTTATATTCATTGCATACATATACTTCGTAGACATCTTTAATCTCTAATAACTCCATTCTGCTGTCTGATGTCGGTGTTTCTTTGTCTGAATATGGCACTTATCACATGCTGTGTGGTATCGGCGTTTGGTATCGGGGGCATTTTAACGAGTACGAGTACAGGAGCTCAGTATCGGGCCCGATATTGGTGCATCCCTATAATTTACATTTGCCATTTCCTACACTAGTTTTAATATGTAAATTAAAAACATATTTTAACGCTTTATAAGTTGCAAAATTAAAATGAATTTGTATTACCCAAATTGATTAATAATTAATAATAATTTAGATTAGATTTGATTAGATGTTTAACATGTCCAAGCAAGAACTGTAGCAAAATTATCATTTAAATGCCATTTTTCCTAAATGCATTTTCATGGTGATACCGCGTGATAATTGTAGAAAAATGCAGTGTGAATTTCCAAAAGCATTCTGAGCCAAATGTGCAGCAAAATGGTGATTTAGATGTCTTTTATTTTTCTTAAATGCATTGACACTTACACTTATGTTTCAATTGCATTTTCATTAAATACCCCGCGATAATGTAGTTTAAGTCGATGTGGATTTGAAAATGCATTTCGAGGTGATCACGCCCCCAACCTGTCAATCATTATATCAAGGTGGGGCTCGACAACAGGATGCACAATAGGTCAATATTCCCCATTAACCAAACGCTTTTCACCTGCCTCAACATCTCTCACTGTTTTACACTCCAATTGATGCACATAAGCAGACAGTGCAATTCTACACTTATTTACTTGCCCCCTTACACCGTGGCTACACCGGACACGACAGTTGTCGTGTCGCATCGCGCTGCATCCAGTGTAGACCGCATTACTGATTATAATGAGTTCAATACTGTCGTTTGTCGCGCCACTCGCCTCCGGTGTAGACACGGTGTTGCCTTCATCTCTTCTAACCCATAATAGAGCGCACGTCCCGTGGCACCTAAGCATCACGCATTTCTTAAGATCCCTCAGTCTGTTTACACTCCGGTTGATGTCCGTGACCATACAGAAAACGCTGCTGCTGCTACTGCCTGCCCCAGATGACTCTTCACCAGTCAGATCTAGACGCGCTGTCACAGAACATACCACAGCCAAACTGAGATAACTTAATATTAAAAATCACGGGCATCAATCGCGGTGTCCGGTGGCTGTAAACCGTGAGATCTCTTGTGTCAGGCGCGTGACGTTTAGGTGCCACAGAACACGTGCGATGTTACGGATTAAAGGAGAGGAATAAAATTTTATGTAAGGTGGTAAATAAGTGTAGAATTTGCTTACATGCATCACTCGACGTGCAGAGTGAGATGTGCGACACTTAGGTGCTCGGGGACACACAATCTATTATAGTAGAAGAATAAAGTATGGTAGCAAATAGGTAAAAGTGTAGAATTGCACTGTCTGCTTATGTGCATCAATCTGAGTGCCTTGATATAATGATTGACAGGTTGGGGGCGTGATCGGCTCGGAATGCATTTTCAAATCCACGTTGACTTAAACTACGTTATCGCGGGGTATTGAATGAAAATGCAATTGAAACGTCTTATTTTTCTTAAATGCATTGACACTTACATATAAGACATTTAAATCACCATTTTGCTGCACATTTGTCTCAGAATGCATTTGGAAATTCACACTGCATTTTGCTACAATTATCACGCGGTATCACGATGAAAATGCAACCTCAAGTGTCCTACCCGTAAGTCTAAATGCATTTAGGAAAAATGGCATTTAAATTATGATTTTGCTACAGTTTTTCCTTGGACATGTTAAACATATCTAATCAATTTGAGTAATACAATTTCATTTTAATTTTGCAACTTAAGCATTAAAATATGTTTTTAATTTACATAATAAAACAAGTGTAGGAAATGGCAAATGTAAATTTAATGTAAATGTAAAAAATTATATAATTGAAATTTCATTTTCATTTTGCACTAAATGTTGCACATATGTATGCAAAATGACCATGTATTTCTGTATTTTCCCATATTACATTTCAAAATGAATTTTGCTACCCATATGCTTCCATGTGAATGAGGCTGTGTTTTGTTTCCCAGCCTGCTCTGCTGTACCTGGTCCCTGCTTGTGTTGGATTTCCAGTGCTGCTGGCCCTGTTTAAAGGAGATCTGACTGAGATGTTCAGGTAACTCCCCTCCTTACATTGACCATGTTCAGAGTTTATGTCCAGGGTCAGGATGCGTAGGGGACATTAGCTTGGATTGTAGTTTTAATGACTACAGCGCACTTCTGTGCTCAGATTCATGCATGCATGTCATTGCGTCTTTCTTGCACCCAAAGCCAGTGGTCTGCCTGTCACGATGGGCTGCCTCGTTTCTAGTGTTGCTCTTTAACTTCAGTGTGCTCGATAGCACTTACATTGTGTGAGAAGTGTTAGTGATACTCGCGACTGTGTTTTAAAAGAGCACAAAGAACTGTTTAATCGGTCATAACTTCGGAGAGAAATGCCACAGACACTGGACGAAGAGAGATTTCTAATGTGTGTTTGTTGAGCACCTGTGTTCGCACACACTTGGTCTTCACTTGTCTCTTTAATCATGTTTGAACTTTCTTAGTCTAGTAATTTTTGCTGTGGTATCGAAGTACTTAGATTTAAGTATTAAATGGAAAGCAAGTTACATTTAAATATTTTTCTGTTCTTGTTGATCTGAAAAGCGGACCGATCTGTGGGTCAAAAACTGCAATGTGCTCCGAACCGTGAGATTTGTGATCCGATTAACCACTGAACCGTTGGTCAGATAACGTGTAATCACAGGGTGAAAACTACTTATCAATAAATATCTAAATGTCAATAAAACTTTAAAAAATCAATGATAAACATAATCAAAAATGATTGTCATTATTATTACTTGGATCTGTGCTCTGCCCAGAGAACTTTCAGTGAAATCAAGTAAGGGATAATATACATCCAGACGCTTGTTATCAACTGCGTGATCAGGACCGAACATTGTAATGGTGAGAACTGTAAATTTAGTCTCTGATTTTATACTTTGCATAAAACACAGAAATTCTTGGTTTCATATGGTGTGCTTTGAGAGATTCCTTCTACTGTTTATCGTGCTGAAGAGATATTTAATCACAGCTCTAAACTAATCTTGTATTTATTAGGGGTGCTCCGATTGTTCGGCTACCGATCACTATCGGCCGATAATCACGTTGGGATGATTGATCGGCGGTCTCTAAAAAGGCCGATCTCCAAAAACCGATCTCAAGCTGATGACGCTGCCTTGAGAAGGTTTGGCACGACATGCAGCCTCAGTCTCTGTCCGGCACTGGTCAAATAATTATAATGTACTCACCTTCATATTTCTTCATTAAATAACTTATAAAGTAATTTGAAAACCTTGTTTGAGACGTAGTTTCACAAACAGCGTGAGTGAGTCACCACTCGCGCGCGCGCGCGCGCGCTCTCTCTTTCTCTCTCAAATATACGCAGATGTCTTCAAATCACCACACATCGCGTCTGTCTATAAGCAAGCTGCACGCTGCACAGTTGACACAGGAATTGTTACTTGCACAATCGAGGCAGTGTCACATCGTCACTAAAGTTTATAAATTGTATTACTTTTTCATTTTTGCCAGCGTTTAATCATTCAGCGCTCGCGCGCTCTCCTGGAGACAGTACACTCATGCACACTCGCAGCACACACACATAATGCCAAGTTCACATTATTCCGTTTGCAGTGCATACGTGGTGCGTATTTTAATCCGTTAACATAAGCGCGGAAAAAGCGTTCACACTGCACACTGCTGCGGCCCGATTGAATGATGTGTTGCTTATATTTATTGTGTTTAAACATGTCTGAAAGATTGTATTAATGTACGGTGTAAAAAAAAAAAAGAATTGTCACTGAAAATGCTTTTTCAGCATTGCAATGTTTGAATTTGAAATCAAACTAATGGATAAATGTTGTGTTTGTGGTAAACAGCCACGGATCAGTAGCGGACTCCTGTGTGAAAGCTGCTTCTCCTCTCACAAGAGTCACTCACCTCAGAGGGGAATTCACCACCTTTTTAAAAAATGAAATTCAGGCCCTGAATAAATGTCTAAAAATCCTGATTGGAGTATCACTATAAATAGTTATAAATGATAAAAGGAAGGCTTTAAAAAGATCTGTATTGGTGATCGGTATCGGCAGATACTGCTTTCTGTGATCGGTGATCGGCCTCAAAAATCCTGATCGGAGCACCCCTAGTATTTAGTTTAGGCTTGTCTGTAAATTAAAATATTTAGTAATGAGACAAAACACAAAAACAGCTTTTTAAACAAGTTTTAAATGCTTATAATAGTTCTACAAATTATAGCACATTTATTGCCCATGATTCCTAGAGTAATACATTTAGACTTTCTGATTTTCAATATTAATAAATGCAGAACAACATTTGGCAAGAATATTAATAAATACAGGGAATTAAAATTGGCCTTCTCATTTCATTCATTCATGGGGGTGGATTTGTCAATAACAATAGATTATATTTTGCTGGGTGTGGGATTTGTGCTGCTGCCTTTACTTGTTTAGGCTGACACCCAAAATGTTTTTCATATTCTTCCTATTTTTTGGGCTGGTTACTTCACAGCCCTTCACAGCCGCTCCTTGCGTATAAAAGAAAGCATTATACAAAGCAAGGTAATGTGATAATGACAAATTGATATTAAATGCAACCCAATTGTGTAATTAAAGCATAATTATAGTTGAATTAATTAAAATAGAACTAAATTAAACATATAAACAAATTTGCTTGGAGCCTTGATAAACAGAAGGCATGCTGCCACCGCTGACCTTTTCATATTCGCCGCACCTACATAAACGTTCACATCTTCTGTGTAATTACAGTGTCATCAGCAAGATTAGAGGCGACATATTGAATCGGTTGATTTGCTGGTTCTGATTAGTGGTCGATCAACTGGAGTATTCACAGTAACGCAAGTGTTTTTATTTTATTTTATATTAGTTCATATAAGAAAGCATATAAGACTCCTGATTGGGAAAAACTGGATTTCAGCATTAAGTGTGTGCATCATCTAGGCCTGGGTGATAAAACGGGATTGGTATTTATTTATCAACGGTACACCTTCATTGATGATGATAGAAAAAATGTTCGATATAGCGCACTATGCTATGAGTGACAAGCAGACATGATGACGTAAGTGTCATTGTTGCATTTTAATGTTTTGTTAGTCTATCCAGTTGAACCCACGAGATGTGCCACTGTTGCGCTTTTCATTCAAAATATTAGAGAAATATAGAGAAGCTCAATGTGGAGAAGATCTTGGTTTAAAACCGAAACCAAGCCATTCACACAGAATGCATGTTCTGCACATTTTTTTTAGACGGACAACTATGACTGCATGGCTTTCTATACATCTCTTGTGTGAGATGCAAAGTTAAGAGTTTAAACTTTTAGAAAACATGTCATAAATTTGTGGAGGTTTATTCCATTTCATTGCGTCTTAAATGTTTTTAAATGCAATCTGTGTGATCAGCGCTACGGCTATTTGTATTAAGTTATGCATAAATACATAATGCTGTTTTGTTCATAATTGTTTATGCAATTTACGAAATTATATTTGATTTATGTTAATTTAGACGTGATGCACTTTTTTTATAGACTGTTATTTCATTGCATTGAATAAACAATGGAGACAAATTAAGACTTCTTTAATCTGCATAAAAACATAAAATAAAATTCAAACAAATATCTCCTTTCTTGTGTTTGACTATTAAAACAAAAAATTGTTTGCTTGCCTGTAAAAATAGTGGTTAAATTAAAAAAAAAAAAAAGATTCTATTGCTGTTTTTAAAAAGGTTATTAAAAAATGGCAATAATTGTCGATACCAGAACGATATGAAACATATCATTGATGCCTGTGATTTTTCTCTGCGTGCTGACGCCATCGCTTTTCATTTGTGGTGCTCTCTCAGAAGGTAGCAGCCTATGTAGTAGTGTTTTCTCCACTTCTTATTTCTGAGCTTCTTCCTGTTTTAATGCATCTTACAGACCTTTTCTTCTCTGTGCTTTGTTCTTCACATTACCTTTCTTATTCTTCTCCTCCCTTTTTCTTTCCTTCCTCACTCTATCATGTCCCTTCTCTGGCATGCAGCTATGAGTCGTCAGACGAGGTTTTGCCCCACACGCCGCGGCTCACTCATTTCCCCACTGTGTCTGGCTCTCCGGCTAGTCTGGCTAACTCCATGCAGAGTTTTGGCCTGTCGACCCCCCGCAGCCGCCGGCACACACCCTCTGACATGTAACGACTGAATTCTGCTTTTCCATTACTGTCTGCTCCCACCTGTGCAGGTATCGCCCTTGATAATTGCACTCCACTTTCCTGTCAGGATCCTCACACAATTCAGGGTCATTTAAAAGACCTCCATGAGCTTCATTTTGTTATCCTCCAAGTTGACCTCTCTTACTGTGTCATGCATGTTGCTTCGCTGATGATGACTGCCTCCAGTGGTTTCTCACCTGTATTCAATGACAGCAATGCAAGACCGCAGCAGTGCTCCATCTGTTGACTGATCGTAAGCTTTTTGATTTCAACTAATATAGTTCAATAGTCGAACTGCATTGTTTATAGGGTTGCATCTGGGGATTATTGGACATTTAACATCCCAGGAGCCTTTTATAACCCATTTTTGCAGAATCTGAAATCATTTGACCTGTAGTTCTGTTCTTCAGGGAGCACTGAACTTTGTCAGCTTCTTGATGTCTGTTTGATTCTCGCCCTGCCTCATGGCTTTCCTCGTCATCCGTGTACATCTGTCACTTGAATCCACTTCAGCAGACATTCATTTATCTAAAAGGCGCAAGTCACATGAAATATAGGGATAGAGCAGCCCAGCAGCTTTCTCTATTTATGCATATGTATTAATGCTGATTGCCTCCCAATCACACTTGACTTGTTTCTTGTGTCTCCTGCAGATACGAAGAGTCTTTACCAGAGGAGGCGTCATCGAAAGAGGAAGTAACAGAATCTGATAAAGACAAATAAAAATGCGGGTTGAGCCCTTAGTCATGTCCTACATTTGTTTGTCCTAGTGATGTGGTCATGTTCGGAGTCTGCTCATGGCAGTCACATGTTCTGTACTTTTGAACTTTATTTTAATGATGTACAACAGCTTGCTCAGTGCCTGTGTATTCTCCTTGTTCCTTTCATTCAATTCATTGCCTTCAACTTTTGAAAATTTGATTGGTTATTTGCTTTAAAAATATATTTTTTTGTTATCATTATAATACAGTATTTGAACAGTAGAAGTTAGGCTTTCTGAATGTAATGTGTCAGATTGCTATACAGATTTATTAAAAATCTGATGTCACAAGTCCGGTACCTACAGTATTCCTGTGTAGCTGGTTTCTGTTATTGTTTCACAAACTGAATCTCTTATGAGATCCTAGAGTAAAACCAAGTAATTGTCCATCTTTTATTACATGAAGGGACAAAATCATTCTGGATGAAATATTTTTACTTTATGCAAGTGTAAACCAAAGTGGGACCAAATATCTCCCTATAACGTGATGGTAGTGTTTACATGTGAAGTTTTTCTGTATGTAGTTGAAGGGTTCTGAGTTTAGTTTTCTTTGCCATATCGTGTCCTGATCATATTTGTTTGTACACCTCATGCTTGGTAAGCATAATTTTACAGTCTCCTCTTGTATAATTTTTTTTTACTCAATGTAAAAGTGTAAAAGTTTAAGCTTACGTGAGGAGCATTTCTTTCTCAGTTTAACTTTTTATTTGCATTAAAATGTGGTGTTTACCACTGTAGAAAAGCATATAACCAGTGTGTGCTTTACTATATTTTTCATACTGAAAAATCAGTAATGGTCATAACTTCACACATTTGTTTGTGTATTATGTATTATATATATTTTATAGGCCATCATGCAAGTGTGAAGTTTTGAACATGAGAGAGAGTACAGGCAGGGTTCGCGTTAACTATTGGAATATGCTATCTTTTTGCTGGATTACCAGTACATTGAATGAGTAAATGGCACTGATACAATGCTTGTGTTGATAAACAAGCCTAGAACATCATGCACTTTCTCAACTAATCCAAAACTAACTTGGAAAAAAAATGCCCTCATTGCAAATATGATTGACAGATAAACAACATGAATTTAAAAAGAGTCAACTTTGTTTAAAAACCAGAATAATAGAATAAATGAGAACTCTGTAACCAGGGTCAAGATTAGGAATGTAACCGAAGTTATTAGTCAAGTCACCTTTATTTATATAGCGCTTTTAACAATACAGATTGTTTCAAGGCAGCTTTACAGTATCAAACAGGAAAATAGTGTCAATAATGCAAAAGTGAATTAGTAAACACTCAATTTTCAGTTATTTTTTAGTTTTAAACACCGTTAAATATGGTCTAATAAATTTGTTAATCACTGTATGAAATAATTGAGGAATTGTGCATCTGAAAATAAAGTGATTTACTATTTTTCTGCCTTTCTTGTAAAACAGTAAATTAGAAACGGACTGAAAAAGCTTACACATAGTGGTGAATTAACCATTACAGAAACAAACAAAAAAAAGATTATGCTAATCACCAATTCTGTTTTCCATAAGACAATATATAAACACAATATACAAAATGGACAATATATGTATTTATAGGTATGTTATGTACAAATGCAAAGGAAATATGATTAAAATGTGAATGAGAGGTATTGTGTGCCAGAAATAATAATAATTAAAGTATAAATGGTGTTGTGTATCACACACGTTTATTGCACATTGGCAGCATTTATCTGTTCATGAGGTAGATGGCCTGAGGAAAAAAATTTTTTTTTTTGTGCCTGGCTGTTCTCAGTGCTGTGAAGCGCCAACCAGACAGCAACCCAGATAGCAAAATTCCTGAGGCTGCCTAATTTGGGCAACAAGCAAGCCAAAGGAAGGCCCAATGTCAGCCATGAATAAACCAAATAAAGCAGAACTGGCCCAAATCTGGGCCACATTGATTTGAATTCTGGCCCAAATCCAGCCCAGATCCAACACCACATACTGAAGAATGATGGCATTTGGGTGGACCACTCCTGTTTGCCAGATTTGGGCCACAAGCAAGCCATAGGTAGGCCGCATGTCAGCCATGAAAATAAATAAACCAGAATTGGCCCAAATCTGGGCCACATTTATTTTAATTCTGGCCCAGATCCAACACCTTGCTCCAGCCCACATACTGCGTGTAATAATGGCATTTGGGCAGTCCAGTTCTGTTTGCCAGATTTGGGCCTCAAGTAAGCCTTGGCATTGCTGCATGTAAGCCAACCAAATAAACCAAAACTGGCCCTAATGTGGGCCACAGTTGATTTTTATTCTAACACTTGTCTTCCCCACATTCCTCATGTGGCCCACATGCTGCATGGAATGGTGGCATTTTGGCAGTGGTCCACAAGCAGGCCATCACACAGCCACATTTTAGCTAATAATGAACCAAATAAACCATAAATGTACATTATCTGGGCCACACTAAGCCTTAAATGAGTTATGCACCAACAATACTCATCCATAAATGTTCAAATCAGTTCCAGAAATGTGTCCTACTTGATAAAATCATCCCGACCCAAGTTTTGCACAAGCAGCAATTAAAATGTCACAGATAAATATTCAAAGGCACATTCCAATACTTTAAAAACTGTTCTTCACAAGTTTGAACAATGCTTCTCACTCAGACTCTACCTACACTGTAAGTCTGTGAGTGTCATAGCTATGCTGTGTTAAAGAGCGCACAACAAAGATGAAAGGTTATATATCATAAGTATTTAATCCAACAAGGGTAAATCCAAACCCAATGTAGCACAGCAGCATTTAAGACATGTAGACATAAGACCAGAAAAACTCAAAGTGAACATACAGGAACTTAAGTACTCAGACCAAACACCAAACAAGGATAATTAACTAAGCACACCTGAACAGAATAATACAATCAACACAAGGGAAATGGTGCAAAAGGAAAACCACCTATCACCTAAAGTCCAAATTAACAGAAACCATGACAGTAAGAGTACAATCATTATAGTG